CTGTTCATGCTCTGTCTCTCTCTGTCTCAAAAATAAATAAACGTTAAAAAAAAATTTAAAAAAAATAAAGCATGTTAAGAAATATTACCTTAGGATATTTAGATCTTATTAATTTGATTTTTGTCACAACATAACTTTTATTTTTTACTATTTAAAAGTATAACAGTTCCAGGGCACCTGAGTGGCTCAGTCAGCTAAGCGTCCAACTTTGGCTCAGGTCACGATCTCTCGGTTCGTGGGTTCAAGCCCCTCGTCAGGCACTGTGCTGACAGCTCAGAGCCTGGAGCCTGCTTTGTATTCTGTGTCTCCCTCTCTCTGCCCCTCCCCTGCTTATACTCTTTCTCTCTCTCTCTCAAAAATAAATAAACATTTAAAAATAAATAAATAAATAAGAGTATACCAATTTCTTGGAGAAAAAGTGGAAAAGGCTGATAGACCTAAATGAAAAGGGGAAAATTAGAACATTCCTTGTCCTAGAGACAGCAACATTTAAAACCTTAGTATCCTTCCAGACTACCTCTTTCCTCTCTGATCCCCATCCCATTTTACTTATTTCCCTTGTAATGCCCTTCTGCACCCTTCCATCCTTCAGGAACTTTGGGATCACTCCTTTCTGGGTTCTCATCCATATCAGAATTTGGTTGCATCCATCCAGTGGGTGGAAAAACATTTTCTAAAACCAAGCAAAGTGATAAAACACTGAAAAGAAGCCAAGAAATATGTGATCAGAATGCTCTGATGTACGCTAAGACCATTTGGAAGTCATGCTGGAAAGGACGACTTTCAGTACACAATGCCTAGAAGTGTCTGAAGATGTATGGCCAAAGGAATGATAGTTCACTATAGACAGTATCATGTAAGAAAAAAAAATGTATATATATATATATATATATATCCATATGTATATATATATGTACTTTAGCTCCTACCTGTCCTCCGTTCTAGGGTTATGGGGACAACCTACAACCTAGCTGTGTTCTTGGTCCACATGTTATTTACCCTGGTCTTCCCAAGTAGGAGCATGCCTTAATGTCACCCTAACCTTCTGAACTATGCATAGGGTCCTATCTTAGCTAATTGCACAGTGTGAATTTCTGTTATTCTCTATTTTCCATAACATAAAAGGCAAATCGAGGACTTCCTTTTTAAGGAGCAAATAAACTTCTGCCCAGTAGGGGGTACCCTTCCTGTCGAATATCACAGGGAGGGTCTGCCAAAGTAGGTAGACTCTGGACATGGTTCCCTTCAGGGGGCTTTGCTCTCCCTGGTCTGAGATCTGCCACTGTATTTGGTTGTTTGGAAGAAGGAAACATTGCTGGAGCTTAGATTTTGCTGATAGGGTCAGGAGTGAAAGTAAGCCTAATTTCCAAGGGCAAGGCAGCTATGCTGCTGATTTGGCATTATTCCCCCCAGGGCTGTCTGCCCCACTTCTCAAGTATAGTTTCAATAGTAAGTGAGAACCCAAATCCAGAATTTCTATTTTTATTACTTTAAGTTTCCTTAAGCGCATCCCATAATTTCCATTTCCTCTTGGCTGTTTGGCTGCATTCCATGCAGTGTTGTCTACCTGTGCTCCAGGGCCATGAAGGCCACTTGGGCTGGCTTCCCTTTGCTTCTATTGTTCTTCCCTAAATCTTGCCCAATGTGGGTCTTCGGGGAGCCAACACACAGTTTGGTGTGTTTTCTCTCCTGGGGAACATTCCAGATGGTCCTCAAGTTTACCCTGATCCCTCAATACTTCTGCTCGGCTCTTAAAGCTTTTGTAATGCTTTCCCCAAACAGTTCTTAAAGATTCATTAATTAACTCACTCATTCAACAAATATTTATAAAGCACTTCCATTCCAGGGCCTCTGTTAAGCATGAGATGTATTTGTAAAAGAGAAAATCCCTATCCCTGAATCCAGTTGAAATGAAGAAATAGTTAGCTCTCTACAATAATTCTTTGTGATGTTCTTAGACTGTGAGAATAACCTCAGTGTCTTGGGAACATAGAAAATGTGTGGTGATCGGGGTTCCTGGGTTGCTCAGTTGATTAAGCATCCGACTTTGGCTCAGGTCATGATCTCACTGTTCGTGGGTTCAAGCCCCACATCGGGCTCTGTGCTGACAGCTCAGAGCCTGGAGCCTGCTTCAGATTCTGTTTCCCTCTCTCTCTCTGCCCCTCCCCCACTCGCACTCTGTCTCTCTCCCTCAAAAATAAATAAACATTAAAAAATAAATAAAAAGAAAATGTGTGGTGATTATCCCTTCTCTCTCTTCCTTCTTTGCTCCTAAGAGGGAGCCTGCTTACCCCCTGGTCTCTCTGAGCACCTATTAAATATTGCTATTTATCAAGATCCTATAGGTTTTTTCCCTGTATTTAAAAAAAAATTAATAATTAATTAATTAATTTAGAGAGTGAGAGTGCACAGGGGAGGGGCAGAGAGAGGAGGAGAGAGAGAATCCCAAGCAGGCTCCATGTTGTCAAGCACACAGCCAAACATGGGGCTCCATCTCACAAACTGAGAGATCATGACCTGAGCCGAAATCGAGAGTAGGATGCTCAACCGGTTGAGCCATCCAGGTGCTCCCTCCTTTTCTTTTCTCTTATATCATGTTTTGGTTTTTGTTTTTCTGGGTGGCTTTTTCTTTCCCCTGGACCCCAGTTGCCACCAAATACTGATGAACTCCCCATCCATTTCTCTGGGTGGGACATCTCTCCTGAGCTCCCTCTTCCAGTTCTCCCCTGGCCTCCTGGCTGTGTGTCCCACATGTACATGCAGTTCAGCTTATGGAAGGCTTCATCTTTCTCCCCAACCTGTTTCTTTGCTATCCCTCCCAGTTCCTCAGACCAGAAAAAAACCTGAAACTCTAGCAACTCGTCCAATAACGTGCCATTCTTGCACCCTTTCTGCCCATCCTGAGCCCACAACTGAGACGTTGATTCCTAGCTTTCTGCATCTCACTGTCTCTCAAGATGCTCATTGCTACCCTCTCCCCATTGGTCTAGGCCAGTGGCTTTCAAACTGTTTTGTTCATCCTTTGGGGGCCTTCTGAAGTTGCAGCGGAAGGGGGTATTGAGCAAGCTGTATAGGTGGCTTCTCATCCCCGATATAAACAGAGCAATTGCATGCTTATCTGTTTTTCATATTATTTGAAGAGCATTGAATGGCTATACATTTGAAAACCGTTGGTCTTAAATCCTTCTCGTTTCTTTCCTGAATTTCTGTGAAGTCATAGCTGAGCATCTAGGTCACCCATCTAGGGCAGTGTCCTTAGCTTTTTTTTTTTTTTTTTTTTTTGACCATGGTGCCACAAGAGGGGTGATGTTGGCACTTCCTACTGTTGGGTATAAGCACCTGATGTACAATAAAATAATCAGAATGCAAGAGAATGAGTGTGGTGCTATTATAAGCATAATCTTTGGATCAACTGTAACTTATGAAAGTAAATAAATCTTCCTGGGTGGATCAGTTGGTTAAGCATCAGACTCTTGGTTTCGGCTCAGGTCACGATCTCTTGGTTCATGAGATTGAGCCCCGTGTAGGGGAGCCTGCTTGGGATTCTCTGTCTCCCTCTATCTATGCCCCTTCCTAACTCGTGTGCTCTCTCTCTCTCTCTCAAAATAAATTTTATTAAAAAATAAATTCTCTTTGGTCTTCACTTATTATCTGTGATAAATGACTTGTAACAAATCCCACATACTGCCTCCATGCTACTCTAACCCACTTACCACAAAGTTGCCACCTCCCTGCATGGGAAATCTCAGTCCCTCTTCTGCTTAACACCCTTCAGTGACTCCCTCTTGGTCTGCAAATAGGTCTGAAGCTCCTTGGTGTGGCTGGCAAGTTCTGCTGTGATCCAGCCCTTGCTGACCTTTGCAGTTCAGCTCTTGCTCCAATGCTCCATGTGCCGGCCAGGCCTGCCCAGCACACCTCCAGGCGGGCAGGGCTTGCGGGCTCAGATGCTCTTCCTGCCCATTGACGCTCCCCCCTTCCCCTCTCGTGCAGCCTGCATGTTGAACTCCAATTTATTTTTTAGGCGAAATAGTCTTATTTCTTCCATAACTGCCACCTGTGTTGTGCTCTATCAACCTCTTCTCCCTTTCTTGTTGAGTAGCAAGGATAGAGTAGATGCACCCCTGGAGCTTATTCCAATTGCTGGGTTTGGTGCATGAAACACCGACACTAGCAGTCGGTGTAGGCTTCTGAAGCTGGGGTAACTTTAGTGGGTTGAACAGTGTCACTCCAGAATTCATGTCTACCTGGACCCTCAGAATGTGGCCTTATTTGGAAATAGGGTCTTTGCAGATTGAATTTTAAGTTAAGCTGAGGTCATAGTAGATTAGGGTAGGCCCTAAATTGAACAAGGGCCATTCTTATAAGAAGGGCATGTGATGATGAGGGCAGAGTTTGGAATGATGCATCTATAAGCCAAGGAGCACCAAAGATTGCCAGCAACTACCAGAAGCCAGGGACAGACGGGGAAGGATTCTTCCCCAGAATCCTCAAAGGGAGCATGGATGGCCCTGTTCCCTTGAGTTTGGATTTCTAGCATCCAGAAATGTGAGGGAATAAATTTGTTGTTTTTAAGCTGCCCAGCTGTAGTGGCAGCCCTAGAAAAGATATGCAGAGATTTTTTCCATTGCCACCTCCATGACTCTCATGTGAGCAGAACCTTCCTGCTGGAAGTGAATCACTGGACGGGTGGGGGGAGGGAGGGGTGGAACTAGGTCACTGAGGGCATTCAGTGCCCTCCTGTGCCCCTCTACACCCCTGTGCAGTCCTGTGGGATGGTCTGTGGTCTGCTCAGGAAGGAGAGTAGGGGGTTCTGATTGGCCCCAGAAATATGCCCCATCTTTCTTCTGTAGTTCAGCAGTAATTCTCTAGGGTGAGGGTGTACAGAGCTGGAGCTTTCCACCTTGGGCCCCGACATCTCAGGATGGGCTCCCTGGGTAGTTCTGTTGGCAGCTTTAGCTTGTGAGCTCACCAAGCTTTGTGAGGATTTGTCATGGCTTCAAGGGGTTGGCTCAGTACATGAGTAGAGTCTGGAGTTTGGGGCCTGTGCCTGCCGGTGCCGTTTGATGCTGAAAGAGATACCACATCTGCAATGTGAGTCCCTCCTCTTCTCTGCCAAGGCATGTCCTCACTAGGGCTGTTCCCCCTGATGCAGAAAAGACATACCGCATACCTCAAGATGTCTTTATGGGCCATTGGCCCCTGGCCTGTCTTCTCTGGGAATATTGTGTCTGGATGGGTGTCATTGACCTAGCCCTGGTTTGTGAGTGCTAGAAAGGAGGAAGGGAACATGAGGAGAAGGAGAATGGAGAACACACACCTAAGAGTTTTTCCTTCAAATTGGAATAAGCTCCAGGGGCCCACCCACTGCTATCATTATGATGTCACAGAAAGGAACAGCCAGAGCAGGGGGAAGAAATTCATGAAGTCATCTGGCCCAAAGCCTTCTTCGATCTTCCATACCACCAGGATGGCAGAGGTTGGTGCATGTTTCTGACAACTGAGCTCTTGAATACCCGAGACCACACAGCAGCAACGCTGGGGGATGAACTCACTGAGCTGGTGCCCAGCTGCTCATCTGGGAAGTTCTACCGGGTTCTCACTTGTAATCAGCAAACCCAGACTCCTCACCTTAGAGACTATCAGACCAAGCTTCTCTTGGGATCCTTGAAGATGGCTGGTAATGAATGTGAAATGATGACTCATGTCGTATTTAAGCAAGACTCTGGGTGTGCGTGTGAATGGGGATTGCTCAAAATCATGTCGAGGTGCTGATGATTGCATCAAAGCCTCTGCAGTGGGGGAGGGCGGGAGAGAGAAAAGGTAGCCGTAGATTTTAATACAGAAAGGGAGCAACCACCTGTGAAGCTTTGTAGAGAATGATGATCTGCGTTCCTGGCTGGTTCTGCTTTCATATCCTCTGGAAAATACTCTGCTGTGCTCAAAGCCCTTGAGAGACAGAAAGTAAGAGAGACTTACCTTGGCCTTATGCAATGACCAAATGAAGTTCTCAAAGTCAACATGGAGCAGTGAGGACCATAGGTCCTCACAAGAGTGAGAAGGACCGACGATCTGGCCTGGTCCCCACCACTTCCCCTGTTTGACGGGGCTTAAGCGCATTGTCAAATACCGACTTGATCCTAGTCAGAAAAGCCCCAGAGAGTGACCATGCGGCTGATATGTTAGAAGAGTCTTTAGGAGCTCACCAGTGTGAGTTTGTCCTGACAGCTACTCCAGCTGACAGCTGGATTTGCTTCTTTCTACTTCAAAATCATCGTGCCTCCTGCAACAAAAGCTAGGGGAGCCAACCTGAGTCCAGCAGTTTAGTTTGTAACCTCGTTCCTTTCTCCTTCAGGGGAGAGGGATGCGTCAGCCACGGGAAGCAGGCCAAACACTCCCGCGTTTCTCTTCTGTCTCAAGTGGAGATTAATTATGTTGTAACTTCATGTTGATGGTGATGGGAGGGTCCCCTGGCAAGAGCAAACCTTCCCCAATTCTTCAGGAAAGAATAGACTGTGGCAGATTTGAACTTGGCCTAAGGGGCAAGGTATTGATGTCATCCAGGCCAGACCACAGTCCCCTATTTCTGGGTTGACACCCCAGAAAGCCTCATATATGCAGCCTTTCAGAGGCTTTTAAAAGCAGGATGCGAACAATCTGCTGGATACGTGGTAGGGTTACATGAGGAAAGTAAAAGATAAAACCTGCTTAAAAGCACCTGTCTCCAGAAACTACAGGCCAAAGAGAGGTACTAAGACTTTGTTTCCATGGAGTTGAGCTGAGAGGGGCAGCTTTGGGGCAAAAGACACAAATATGGGGCTTGAAATCAAAATTCTGGGGTCAAGACCCAGCTTTCCCACGTGCTGTGTGACTTTGGGCAAAACCTTTCACCAGAGTTTCCTTTTAGGGAAAATGGTAGGAACAAGTACACTAAAAATTGTTAGAAGGACCATATGGCATATGTGCATATTGTTAAATGCCATGTAAGGGTTGGTGTGGTGATTCTCACTGTGGCCTCGAATATGGGATGTGCCTGTGTTCACACCACAAATAGCCAGACACCTGGATGGCCACGAATGTTGGGTTTAATCATAAGATCTGCTCTTTCCTGAGAGCCAAAGGTCTAGGAAGTTTTTGTTCGTTTACTTGTAAGCGACTCTTTCTTAGAACTTTCTAGCTAAGAAATCTTCTGTCGTATATCACCATTGACCAAAAGTCTTTGGGCGACTCTGCCCTCCCACTTAAGCCTTTGATTCTTCCTCCCTGAGGTCAAGGGGTCAGACAGATTTCCTCAGTGGTGCACTGAGTGCTCTAAAGTTGTATGACTCTACCCACCAAGAGGAAAGCTTTTGCTTGTGTCAGATAACCTTCTGGAACCTAGGTTACACATGAGGCAGTAGGCTGAGTGCGGAAGGAGGACACCAAGCTCTTTGGTATTCTTGCAGACTAGAGGGCACCCCATGCCAAGATGCCTGGCACTGCTCAGAGAAAGGTCACCCACCCCTTCAGAGTGCCAGCAGAATTTTATGGGACTTGAGAGAAGGGAGGCGTTACCCAGCATAGATAGGAGAAGGAAGGGAGAGGCAGAGACGGAAGTGGCTCTGAGCTGGCCTTGCCCTAACAGGTGCAGTGTCACATATGCAGTGAACAGCTCGTGTTGAGACCCAGCGGCAGGAAATGGGGGGTGGCATGTGCTGTTCCTCACTTATAGTCTCAACAAAAAAGAAAAATGAACAGATACCAAGGCTGAGGAGTTGCTATTATGTGCTGGGTACAAGGCCCGACCCAGTGGTAATTGGGTACATGTTTCTGAGTTAGTCGGCCTGAGTTTATCACGTCGGTGCTCCTTACTGGCAAGTGTGTGAGTGCCAGGCTTAATCCTGGGAGGACTGGGCGCCCACACCCTGCGTGCAGGGCCCCCTGGGTGGAGGAGGGCAACTTTCCTGTCTGGGCACTGCCACTTTCCATTCACTTCACACGCCAGTGTTTTGACATGTTAGCGCCCGGCCTGTTAACACGGGATAACAAGGGAGTGCGCCCAAAGGCGGTGCCCGGCTCCTGAGCTGGCACCCGGCCAGGGCAGCCTTGTCTAGCTCCTTTCCCTGGGGTGGCAAGAAGGCAGCTACTGGGTAGTTCTGGGTCCTCTGAGTGCCTCCAAACTAGAGCCTCTCCAAATGTCAGGGAGGAGAGTTTATGACTTCGGCCTTTTATGATGTACCTTTAAGGCCAATTATTTCTAGAGCTAATAATCCTAACACCTCATTGAATTAGGCACTGGGAAGAAAAGGAATACACTTCAAAATCCATGAAATTACAAGTGGATTGAGTGACTCACTATTCTGGATGAAGGCTTTATAGTCTGTAGTCATTATTATTGTTAATAATATTAATATTAATAAGCATTTATTCACACACACACACGCCCATGGGTCTTTGGGCAGAGCTCATGGAGGACACAGACAGACTCTGTCCTCAGGGAACTGAAGGAGGCTATCTCTAAGACACTGTAGTAAATCACTTGAGTATTGTAACTGTCAAGGTTTTAAACACCTAAAAATCAGCACTATCATTAGCAATCAGTAATCACTGTTATAGAAGAATAAATCTTGTAATCTCCAAATTACCTGTTTGCACCAATTACAGTTCAACTGATGAAACATACCAATCAAAGGGGAATTTACTGGAGGCGCCCAGGCTTATCTAGGTTAAAAAAAAAAAAAAAAAAAAAAAACCAGGAACCCGCTGAGTTCTCAAACTGTTGTTTCTTAGCTCAGTCTCCGTTAGGGTGGATTTTCTGGAAGTGGAGCTGATAAAGCCCTACACAAGTACCCCCAGGCAGAAGGGAGTCCAGTTTTCACTTACTTGTTTATTTATTCACTTATTCCCTGCCTGCCTACAAAAAGGATTTGAGGTAGGTCACACTAAAAACACAGATCTTGCAGGACGGTTTTTTTAAAAAAGCAAAAGGAAGGTTGGAAATTTTGGGGGTGGGGGTTGAGGTGTTCGAATGTTGAGCTCCCACAAATCTTCTTGAGAGTTCTTTTCTAAGCACGGGGCTGGGCCCCACGGGGAGCAGAAGGAGAAGCCGGCCCTCCCGTTGCCTGTAAGGAAGGCCCAAGTCGAGGAGCCACACGAGCTTCCGACTGGGTCTGAGCTTCTCAGAAGGTAGTGCACAGAGGACGTCCATGTGTTGTCTAGCTCTCAGCCCACAACGAAAGAAAGCGGGTAAACGGAGAGGTAGATTTTTTTTCCTTTTTGTAAATACTAAAAAAAATATCGAAGGGGCCCAGTGGGAAACCATCTCAGTGTTTTTTTACCAGTCTCCCAGTTGTGTTCTCCACGTGGTCATTTCTTGGCTGGAGTTAGAAGAAGGCGATGGAAATGTGGACCCACTGAGCCTTCTCTGGTTTACTCTGGAGCTTTGGACAATCTCGATCTGGTGTTTGCAACTGAGGGAAAGCCAGGGAGCAGTGGCCGGGAAGAGGTGGGGAACGGACAGGAGCTGGAAATAAACTGGAAGGAAAGCAGTCCCCTGGCGGGTTTGGCTCAGGGATTAGGAAGTGAAATGGATTTAAACAGCGAGGGTCTTCTCAGCCCTGCGCTGTGTGCCAGGCTTCTCCTAAGGGTGCCTCTGCATACCCTGCCACTGCAATAGTCCCAGCATCCCATCCCTGCTCTTCCGTGCATCTTGGTTGCATCGCCGTTTTCCCGGCCCCTACCTGGCTTTATTGCTTGCCCATATGGTTCTGCATCTCTAGGAAATTATATCCTTGTCTTCTGAGGGCTCGCTTTATGTTTGTTTTTTGCTTTAAGGTTACCGTGAGTTCATTTTCACTTCTGCCCTTGAACATGGTAACGGCAGAACTGTTTAAGTAGCAACTTTCTACATGGTACCCTCTGTTGGTAGACAGCCTCCCCAATGACCCCAATTGCCCTGGCCTTGTTGTACTCACGCATTTGTGTAGGTCCCTCCCACATGGACTCAGGGTTGTTCTATGTGACCAGCAGGATACCGCAGTGTTAGATACCGTGCTGAGTGCTATGTATAGGACAGGCACCATCTTTGACCTCATGGAGTTTACAGAGTTTACAGAGCAGAGAATATAGATAGATAGGAAGATGATAGATAGATAGATAGATAGATAGATAGATGATAGATACTGAGAACTCTAGCTTTGGAGCTAGATAGAACTGGCTGAATTGTGGCTTCTTCACTTGGCTTTGTGACTTTGAGCAAGTTATTTAAGCTCTCCGAGTGTCTGTTTCCTCATCTTTACATTAATTTTCTTAAGTTTATTTATTTTGAGAGAGATAGAGAGGGGGGAGGTGCAGAGAGGGGGGGGTGCAGAGAGAGAGGGAGAGAGAGAATCCCAAGTAGGCTCCACGCTGTCAGCACAGAGCCCGACATAGGGCTCGAACCCATGAACTGCAAGATCATGACCTGAGCTGAAATCAAGAATTAGACACTTAACCGACTGAGCCACCCAGTGCCCCTGTTTCCTCGTCTTTAAATCAAATATCCATCTTGAGGATTACACGTGACAGTGCATAAAAAGTATTTACCACAGTTTCCAGGTTTGGGTGGCTCCTCCATAAATGTTATTCCCTCCAGCCGCGCTGGTGCTGAGAATGTATGATGAGTAGGAGGTCATCTCTGCCTTCAGGGGGCTCCGAATGGAGCGGAGGGGACGGATGTGTACTCACGAAAGTTCAAGGCAGACTGTGACAAATGCTGTTACAGGGGCGGAGAGGACAGTGGGAACCCAAAGGAAGGCATAGGAAAAGCTTCATGGAGCTTAGGTGACATTTTAACAAGCCCTGGCGGGTAAGAACTTTCATCATTGCAGGTAGGGAGGGGAAATCCCGAGAAGTCACGAGGCGTAAAGCCTCCTGATACCAGCGATGGTGGAAATGCACTAGCTTTTGGTCATACCGCTTCCCCGTAGTAGGCTGTGATCTCTTCATCGGTAGATGGCAGCTGCTAAACTCGAGAGTAAATGTTCCTTCCAGCTCACCCATTCCACAAGTCCAGGGTACTGCTCTGTTCATTACCACCTTTCAGCTCCTAATACATGGTGGGCACTCAATAAATATGTATTAAATAAGCAGGTATAATTTTATGCGTAAGTGGCTTGTCTCAAATGAGAAAAATCAGGGAAATATTTTTTCCATTTACTTGACATAAGTCATTTCCTGGGGCAGGGGGGCGGGGGGACAGGTGTGGTGGCAATGAACCCATCTACATTGTGTCACTATGTTTTGTCAAAGTCCTTCTGTCATCCTGGTCCTTCGATTTCTTGGCTGTGCCTCCTATTTCTTCCTTACATCCCCTAGTCTTGCTGTGGGCTCCTGCTCAAACTTTAAAGTGACTGGCATTTCCCTGGAGATTTCTTTAGCACTCAGCACCACGTCCTCGGTCCAGGTGAGGCAGACCCAGCCAACTCTGAAGAAGTTTGCATGTTTTCCTTCACTTAACTTCCATTTTGCGATTGGTGTCTCCATGAATGGAGTAACCGTGAAACCAGAGCTCAACAGAAGAACGTCGAAAGCTGTCGAGCTACTACTATGCCACAGGACAGGGCTGGCTATCGGTGAAACTGTGCTATGAGGGAGTTTAGGCCCTGGGGGGTCCCCACCCCACTCCATTTTGCCTCTGCTCCCCTCCTCAGGCCTATGCTTAAGACCCTCATGATGTTTTCTTCTCCACTGGGACTCCTGTAATACACCGTCCCCTGGGGCTTACTCTGCTCCAGCCTTTCCAGATCACCCTTGTTCTTTCAAAGCTCATCCTGGGTTCCATTTCCTCTGAGATCTGCGGCTCTGTGTTTTTGGTACAATTAATTCGGTCCACACTGATTGCCCATCCTGTGCCTGGATCAGTATAAGCTCACAGGATGCCAGATGAAGGAAAAGCGCTTCTTGGCCCTGATCTGGCTTTCTAGGATGAGCGTGGCCAAGACGACAAACCAAACGATGCAAAGCCATTAACGGACAGTCCCTTTTAAGTGATAGATGTGCATGTTACCAGGAGCTTTTTGAAGTCAGTGGCTTACCTTCAAAGCATTCTTATTGTGACAAACAACTTTTAAAAGGTTTTCTCTTTGCTTAACCTTACAAGCAGAAGAGCAGTACTTATCAATGGCAGAAAACTTGGAAAGTGAAAGAATATATACGTAGGGGACAAACTTGTTGATGGTCTCACTACCCAGAGGCAAGCCAGCGTTGGAATATTTTTCCTGTCTTTTTTTCCCCGATGCACCGGAGATCCTGTGTTGCTATAATTTTGCCTCTACCACTTTTGTTAGCAAGCACTCTATCCCAACCATTTTGCAGTGTTATAAAACACACTGAAGAGTGATTCTAATGGTAGGAGTTTGTCAGCAAGTAGGAGCGCTGAATTTATTTGGCACTGAGACTTGGGGTAACCTCTCTAATAACACTCCCATTTCTGCGACTTCTAAGACAACTGCTGCCATAGTGTATTTGTAACTCAGCCGATCTGCTCAGCCCTTCTCTGAAGACACCGTATCCTGTGCCGTTAGGTGCGAGCATCTCCAGTCTCCAGATTCTCCACTTCCTCCCTTCCCCCACCCCGATTTCCTTCATCTCCAGTGAGCGATAATATCTTTCATTTGAGCTTTTCTTTCTGCCTCCAATGACTGCCTCCCCTGATGAATTCTCTCTGGGTGACTTTGGCATTTGCATATTTCCTCGCTTGGATATTCTGAGATGTTGGAACCAGAGAGCAGGTTGATGCGATCAGGTACTTAGCTGAATGAGGCTTTCTCGGGAACTGCACAAATATTTGGAGTCGGGTGTGTGCCAATAGGCAATTAATTGAAATGTGGACACAGCAAGCTTCTGGAGGAAGGAAACTGAACTTGAGAAATTAGCTGTGGGAAGCAATCCTCCGCAAGATACAAAACAGTAATTTGGGAATTTCCTTTACCTCAGACTGAAATTGATTTGGTACAGAAAGAGGAAAACAAAAACAAAAACAAAAGACCCAAACCCAAACAAGGTTGACTCCTGCATTACCAGAGCTGGAAGGCATTGTCAGAGAATGCTGGTCTGACCCTCCTGGGGATGGAGGAAAGAAAGCCCAAGGTCAGTGGCAAGTTGGGGCAAATTCAGGACCAGAAGCAAGATGTCCTGACTCCAGCCCAGGGCACTATCCATTTTATAAGCTGACTGTCTACCAGGAGAGCCGGATTATCATATCAGGAGCAAAAGGGCGAGGACTGTGATTTAAGCATTTCCCCGTCACCGATGACTTTGTGAATACATTTAGGAAAATCCGTAACAAAACCAAGGTACTCGCTGATTGTGGCCTTAAGGATGGAAGCACATCTAGCCAACATTTATGGGGCTCCTGCTTCATGTGTGGCTGTCCGCTAGGCACTAAGAATGGAGGTGATTACAAATAGGGTCCCTGCTCCACACTGTGTGATGTTGGCCTGATCCCAGGAGGGGCCCAGCTCCTGACTTGTCCTCTTTAGAGGTATGAGCCTCTGGGTCCATCTACATTTCTCTGTCTTCCAGGAGAATGGACCTTTCTCCTTAAGATTTTTATAAACGATGTATAAGAAAAGAAAAGAGAAGGTCTGACCGTGACGTTGCTTTAGGATTCAGATTATCTTAGAGTGATATGAAAATCACCTGTTCATTGTTAAGGTATATATTTCGTGGTTCAGGACCAGAGTGATCCATTTTATTTATTTATTTATCTTTATTTTTTTTTAATTATTTTTAATGTTCATTTATGTTTGGCAGAGAGAAAGAGAGAGACAGAGCACAAGCAGGGGAGGAGTAGAGAGAGGGGGAGACAAAGAATCCGAAGCAGGCTCCAGGCTCCAAGCTGTCAGCACAGAGTCCAACGCGGGGCTCGAACCCACAAATGGTGGGATCATGGCCTGAGCCGAAGTCGGACGCTTGACTGACTGAGCCACCCAGGTGCCTCTGGAGTGATCCATTGCAGGCTTCCCCTAGAACATGGTTCTCAAAGTGCGGTCCCTGAACGGGAGGCATCAGTACTGCCTGGAGACTTGTCAGAAATGCAGATTCTCAGGTCCCACCTCAGTGCTACTGAATCACAGGCACTGGTAGGGCCCTGCCATCTGTTTTAACAAGCCCTCCAAGGGATTCTCATGCATGGTGGAGTTTGAAAACCATTGCCCTAGAAAATATGATTTGGAAATCTGGGCTGCTGAATTCTAGCACCAAGGAGGTAATCTATTTTTTATTATTGGACCCTTAAGAATAAACTCTCTTCATTTTAGAATACCCAGGTGAGCTGTTTCTATCCATTGCTGAGTGTTAAACGGGAAAACATGCCCAAATAATTCTTCAAAATTTAACTGACCAGCAGAGTCAGACACGATTCTGGGTAACCTGTCGTATTTCCAGTAAGCACAACGTTTGCATACTTTAAAGTTTCATGGAATAACTGAATAAGTTAATTGATTGCTTAATCTGTTATTTTTAGAATATCACTTCCTTACCTCATGTGAAAGTTTATTCAAAATTCAAATGGGAACATTTTATTACCCCAAAATGTTTTCCCATATACTTGAACATGTTACTAAGGAAACCAGTTGCAACATTGCAGTGATATTGTTGCTCTAACAAATTAACGATTCAGCCATGTAGTTGCCATACTACGATTTTTTTCTCTCTCTAGAAAATTTCACACTTATTGAATTTATACATTTATAACACAGGACGTTGCAAGCGACGCTATACAGAGAAATCGCATCCCAGAGTGACAACGGAGGTTTCCCTGGGATGTGTTTTGTGCTGTTTGAGCAGGTGATTTTTCATCCTGTACCAGGAGCTCTTCTGCGCAGGGAAGCTGAGTTAGAGAGAGCAACCATCTCACAAGGACACTTGGTGTCAAGCTTGGGGGGTTCTCGCTGGTGAACAGCGACTAAAACCGGCTGCGTGTGTGCAAAGTGTGTGCTAATCACACTTTTAAGGAATCGAAGGACATCAAAGCATGAGATCACGCGACTGAGATGGCACCAGGAGATGGGGGGGGGGGTGGTGGATACAGCACAGTGGGAGGCCTCCTGCATTTTCTGCCTCAATGGGGGGAGGTGAGGTTATTAATGAGGGGATAGATTAGAACAGATGGGTATTTTTGACACATTTCCCCATGTTGTTATTTTCCAATACCCCATCTTCCCACCAGCTAGTCATGTGCCTTTCTCTTGGTTAGGAGTGAAAGCATGTGACTTTTTAAAGGGAAACCTCAGGAAGGGAGAGTGGAAGTGGAGACATTGCCATAATGCTCAGAAGGCACCCTCAGCGGATTTGGAGAGTCTTCCTGAAGCCTCTGCTGGGAGGGGAGAGGGAGAAGCCACCGTGGGCTTGTGTGACTTTGGACACCGTGTTCGAAGGGAAGCCGTGTGACCCTTTCCCCCTCACTCCAGCCCAGCCTCACGGCATCCAGCAGCCACCACTCGCCTCCTGATTGCCGTACCTTTCTGCAGCCTGGAGATTTGCATTGTAAATGCTGTTTGTTAGGCCCCTGAAATAATATTAATCACCGTAAAACAATTACGTTGCATAATTTGTACATAAAAAAGAAAGAGTGAACCTTTTGCTTGAATTAATATTTCCTTGTTTGTATCTTTCTCATCCTCACAAATAATGAGACCCCTGTCTGCCCTTCTAGGTGAGAATGGCTTTGGGAAAAGAAAGGTATCTATCTTCGAATGGCTTCTTGAAATGATGCACAGTTGTCCGGAGTCTGGTGGCCTATGCAGTTTGGGGTAGAAGAACCACGGACCCGGGGCGCCTGGGTGGCGCAGTCGGTTAAGCGTCCGACTTCAGCCAGGTCGCGATCTCGCGGTCCGTGAGTTCGAGCCCCACGTCGGGCTCTGGGCTGATGGCTCAGAGCCTGGACCCTGTTTCTGATTCTGTGTCTCCCTCTCTCTCTGCCCCTCCCCCGTTCATGCTCTGTCTCTCTCTGTCCCCCAAAAATAAATAAACGTTAAAAAAAAAATAAAAAAAAAAAAAAAGAACCACGGACCCTGGGGAAAGGGAGATCTCGACACCCTGTTGCAAGGTGCTTCTTGCAAAGAGGAGAGACAGAAGGGTGGGCACCAGGGGGCTGACAAGGGGAAGGTCTGGAAGGAGAGCAGCAAAGGAGCAAGGCTCTGTGCCTGTGTTTCTGTGGGTGCACCCTGTGTCCATCTGGGGAGAAACAGCTGGCAGTGAACAGAAGCCTAAGGGAGTTGGGAACCACCATTCACACCCACTGCCCACCGTACTGGGTTCAGTGGTGGTCTTCACAAGATTTGTCCATGTACTAACCTCTGGAACCAGTGAACATGGATTTCTTTTGGCAAAGGGTCTTTTCAGATGTAATTAAGTTAAAGGTCTTGAGATTAGATCAGCTTATACTATCCAGGTGGGCTCTAAATCCAATAATAAGTGTCCTTATATGAGACAGAGGGAAGAGACCCTGGAAGTGAAGAGGAGAAGGCCCTGGGAAGATAGAAACACACGATGCAGCCACAGCCCAGGGATGCCTGGAGTCACAGGAGCTCAAACAGGCAAGGAAGGATTCTCCCCTCCAGCCTTCGGAGAGGGCATGGCCCTGCCTAGGCTTGATTTCGGACCTCTGGACTCCAGAACTAGCAGAGAAGTGTTTTCTGTTGTTTTAAGCCACTACGTTTTGTAGCAGTTTGTTACAACAGCCCTAGGAACTGACACACACACACACACACACACACACACACACACACACACACACACCATGCCCTCCCCCTTCCCACAACCTCTCAGGGAGATTCACTGGCTCGAATTTTGAGTTGATGATAATGTTCTCACAAGCCACTGCTGGAGGTCCCCAGAGCACATCCAAGCTTGTGGGACTGCCGTGCTGTGCTGTACCTGGGTCCCAGATGATTTCTCCCAGGAAGACTCTCCTTCCCAGGAAGTCACATACCAAGCATTGAGCACAGAGAATTTCAATATCAGGTCCCTCTGACATACCGTTTAGGACTGGAAATAAGGGCCTGCGTATGAGGCAGAATTGGAGAGGACTCTGTAACTACCATTTTGGACTCTCTTTGGGTGGGTGGGCGGTTATCCTGATTTTGCAGATGAGGAAACTGAGGCCCAAGGACATGAGGTAATACTCCCAAAGTCAGGAGGCTGACAGTTCGCAGAGCCAGCCTTTGAACGCTGGGTGTTTTTGACTCCACGGCTCATACCCACAAGCGCTTTTCTACTATTTTGTTCTTAGGAATGCAGCCCGGTGCAGGGACACACATCTGTGCCTGTCCTGGGTGCTCACTTTCAAAAGAATATGCACATTTTTTGCGTTTGAGGCCATTTGACTCGGTTAATTCGTTCACATTGCACATTTTCTTTCCGTAGGGACTTCAGAGGGCATTCGGGGACAGATTCCAAATTGAACTATACCCTCCAAAAGGTGCTTTGTGGTTTGGTTCGGTTAGGGCTCTGCCTTCACGCCGAAGTTCACACACCTGAATGTTGTAAGAATTTTCATGGTCTGGCCGCTGCCTGCCTCCCCAGCCTCGACTCTCGTAAGCCTCTCCTCTCCACCTCGTGTGAGTGACCTCATAGCTGTTCTGAGCGACTTTCAGTTTTTGTGTGTCTCATCCTCTCAACAGACTCCTGTCCTTTGCCCAAGCTGTTTCTTCTGCTTGGAATTCCATCTCCCTACTGCCCTCTCCACTGGTCACCCCATCTCTATCCTTTGACTATTTAACTTGGGTAGCTCTATTCATCATCTGGGTCCCAGATTAGAAGTCAGCCACTCCAGGGACGTCTGGGTGGCTCAGTCAGTTGGGCATCTGACTTTGGTGCAGGTCATGATCTTGTGGATCATGGGTTCGAGCCCCGCTTTGGGCTCCAAACCCACTTCGGATCCTCTGTCCCCCTGTCTCTCTGCCCCTCCCCCACTCGTGCTATCTCTCTCTCAAAAACAAATACACGTTTAAAAAAAAAAGAAGTCAACCACTCCAAGAAGCCTTCTTGGATCACCTGAACTTGCCCAAGAACCTCTGGTGGGACTCTCAAAGCATCCTTGATCTCCCCACCTATCACGTTGTATGATAATTTTATCATCTGTATCCTTCACCTTGCTGCAGGTTGAGGGCAGGGACAGGGTCTGCTTGAGTCACCATGTATGCCTGGCACCCAGCCCAGCACCCGGCACAGAATAGTGATTCGATAGGTATTTGTGAAATGAATGGAGTTAAGAAGGCCAGAAATGACTTCCTGGATCATTAGGCTCAGAGTTATGTCATTAATTAGGACACTGAGGAATGTTATATTAAAGGGCATAGTTATCTGACCAGTTGTCAACCTCAAAGGTTAAGGATGTTTTCAGAATATTCTAGATTCGTTTTGCAAGCTCCTAGCAACAACTTCATCTAAATCATTTGGACAAATTTTAACATTGAAGGAGATGGCCTTATTTGATGTGTTCAGTTCATTTCTTCTTTGCAACTAATCTATTCAGATGACCACTTAGAATAATAAATTGCAAATTGTTGACCACCAAATACATAAGATAACAGTTTCAATGTTGTTTCTAAATTGATTCCTCCAAGTCAAAGGGAACCCCCAAGTACCTAAGATGGGCTGTCTGTCGCCTTTTACTAAGGCCCCTGTGAGATAATAGAAAAACATATATATATTGGTCTCTGCCCCTGGTTCCTGCTACACATCTCCCCAAATCCTTGTAATTTCCTAAGGGATGAGGGTACTAGGAGAGCCTTTTGTTCTAATGAGGCAGCTCCGGGTGGGCTCCTGGTTGCTCCTTGGGTGGGGCTGGTCACCAGAAAGACCAAGTCATGATTAGAAGCTTGGACTTTTCAGCTCCCTACTGTCCAGAGAGGAATTAGTAATTGGTCATGCCATAAAATTCCCAAAGAACGGGGTTTGGAGAGCTTCCATGCTGGCAAGCACACCAATACTGGGAGTACTGTGAGGTACACGCCCCAGCCCCACAGGGACAGAAGCTCTTGCACTTGGGACTCTCCCAGACCTCGCCCTATGTATCTCTTCATCTGGCTGTTCATCGGTGTCCTTTATCATATGCTTAATAAACTGGTAAATGCAAGTAAGTGCTTCCCTGCGAGCTGCTCTAGCAAATTAATCAAACCAAAGGAGGGGGGTCGTTGGAGCCTCTGATCTATAGCTGCTTAGTCAGAAGCACATGTGATAACCAGGGCTCGTATCTGGAGTGTGTATGTGGGAAGGCGGGGGGAACAGGCCAGTGGGACTGAGCCTTTACCCTGTGGGGTCTGACACTCTCTCCAGGTAGACAGTGTCCAGATGGAGTTGAACTGTAGGACACCCGGCCAGTGTCGGAGACCTGTTTGTTGTTGTGGGAGAAAAGCCCCACATATCCGGTGAGCAGAAGTATCAGAAGTGTGTGTGGAGTGAAGGAATGCCCTGGGGACAGACACACAGTAGTCAAGAACTGGTCTTTCTCTGCCGGGAAAGAGGAAGACTGTGTCTCTCTTGGGCATCTCCCTGGTGACTATGGATTGAGCTCCTGGCCCTTCTGAACCTTCTGACCATGCTCAGTGTGGGGGGTTTCAGTCCACCCCCTGCTCTTCCTTTGCTCAACACAAAGGCATTGGTATCATTCTTTAGGTTCTTTCTGGCCTTCCTGAAGGGCAGTGACTTCATTCAGGATTGCAGAGCCTGGTTAGATGTGCTGGGCTTCAACAGCTGTTGTACTTGGTGACTTAAAGACCAATGCTCTGTGGCTGGTGCTGGAGAAAGAGCTGGCTTAGGGGTCAGAGGACCTGGGTTCTCACCTGGCTCTTCCTTGTGGCCTCTCTTACTTAATGCCTGCTGAAGGGATATGTCTTGTGTCAGTGGGTGGGCTTGTTTCCCTTGCCTTTTGAAAATGTGAAGAACTAGGGGCGCCTGGGTGGCACAGTCGGTTAAGCGTCCCACTTCAGCCAGGTCACGATCTCGCGGTCCGGGAGTTCGAGCCCCGCGTCAGGCTCTGGGCTGATGGCTCGGAGCCTGGAGTCTGTTTCCGGTGCTGTGTCTCCCTCTCTCTCTGCCCCTCCCCCGTTCATGCTCTGTTTCTCTCTGTCCCAAAAATAAATAAATAAATAAATAAATAAATAAATAAATAAAAAAGAAAAAAAGAAAATGTGAAGAACAAGACCTCTCCATCCCTTGACTTTCTTTCAAATTGTCTTCCCCTCCCATCTTAAAACAGTGCGAACAAAGGGCAAACTCAATGGCATTGTCAGAATGGAAAGGCCCTTTCCAATTTTTTGGCTTCTTGTCTGAAGTCTTGTCTTCAGTCAGCACCAAAATATTCTTACAAACAGAGAATGTGGGGAGTCCACACTTGAAACTAATGGCCATGGAATCTGAGAATGGTTGAGTCAGAGGGAGGAAGGAAAGCCAGGAAGGAGGAAGGGGGATGGAGGGATTGGGGAGAGAGGGAGAGGGAATATAATGGAGTCACAGGGCTAATCATTGGCCTCTTTTCCATGACTCCCTTCCTTGTTGGGTTTTCCCAGTGAGGGAAGCTCTGTGTTTCAAGCTGAATGGTAAATTCAGACTGAGATGCTGGGGTCCACAGAGCACTCCCTCCCT